TTCGTTGTTTATCTACAAATGGCATGCTGGAAATCGTAACACATACGAATGCATTGGCTAATACCACACCGGCCTCGAATAGATCAACCGGCCTCGAATTGGAAGTTTCCCTTAGTGCAAAACTTTACGTGCCGTACTCCATAGGTTCGCTACGAATAGCTGCCGCCACTGACAACGCACAGTGGCGCGCCATCTTGCTAACCAAGCGCAGATCCATACATGGCAAGCTATGCTCTGCAGCGTTTTCAAGCAGCTGCATCCGGCGCTCTGTTTTCTCTCCGTGTGGAGCAAGAAACATTACGTCATGACTTAAGGCAAGATAAGCCTTAATGCGTGCTTTTAATACACTAAAACACCCTGCCGCACAGTAAAATAGACACAAATGTTAGTACATGTGCACGCTATAATCTCCTGCATCTGCACGAGCGTGTATTGGCAGTTATCCTCCAGGTATTCTACGAGGGCCTCCTCCATCTCCGGCGTGCACTTAGTGCATGTCGCCCGCGCGCCGCCTCTCTTCTTGATGTCCGGGGTTCCTCGCTCGACGATAGTCCGAGCCGTTGTAGCTGGAATTCCGTTGCAATCGGCTACTAAGGCCCAGTCCTGCCCAGCCTTGTGTGCGTCGAGAACGCGTGTCCCGGGCCGCGAGGCCATGCTTTGGTTCTGTTGGCATGATGCCAGAAGAAGAGGGTTTGATGCCGACCACCAGTTAGCTCTGCACTAAATCGCCATTGCTCTAAAGTCAATTTTTGAAAATTAAAAATTATAAATTTTCTTTGTCACTTAAGTTACTTCACACCGCTTTGCTTTACACTGTCGCCGATTTGGACTGGCAAAGGTGTAGATGGCACTCGTTATCTAGCCCGACTGGGTGTGAAAGAGTCAGGCTACATTGCCCGACCCAAACCCGACGGATGCCCGACTGACCCCCGACTAGATAAAGGTTCAGTTGTGCAATCACAGGAAACGCACTCCAAGTATACGTGTCCAGCGCGTATACACGGATATTAAGACTCTGAATCTGACGAAGAGGGCAAAGCATTCAATGTACTCCGTTCACAGCGGATCCAACTTAGCACTCAAAAACGTTTTTCTAAAGTAAAACGATTGCTAACTTGTAAGGCTTACACCCACATGCAGAGGTATCGATAGCGCAAATACTGTAGTTCCTTTCTGTTCAGGTAGCTAAGTCCGTCGGCCCCAGCAAACACTTCAAACGCCAGCAAGACATACATCCCGCAGTTAAAACTGTCGACCTGAACGCCTAGATTTCCACGATAGGGAGAGACACGATACTTTCGTGGGGCGGAATTTGGCAGCTGGGTCACTATCTTCTCAGTAAGCGCTCGGACTCCAATCATGTATGTAGAAGCCATTGGGTCGTACACGATTGCATCTGTGCGCTCCACATCCACCATAATACCACACCAATGGTTCTTGTTGCAGCATACAGGGATCAGAAGAA